TGGTGGTGGTGGCTGCGGTGGTGGTGGTGGCTGCGGTGGTGGGGTGGTGGTGGTGGTGGTGGTGGTCGCGGCGGCGGCGGCGGTGGTGGCTGCGGTGGTGGCTGCGGTGGTGGTGGTGGTCGCGGCGGCGGCGGTGGTTTGCTGTTGTGCGATTTGAGGATTTTCACAGCAGCTTTGTAGACCTGACCATTTGAATCACGGCCCTCCCTTTTGCTTTTCTCCGTTCTGTCTTTCGCCTGCCTTACCCTCTGGGCTTTGGGCTTCAGGATCTCCTCCAAATCGTATGCAAGGGGTCAACGCATAGGAATCAAGGTTTAGCTGTCAGGATGTCGGGTCCTGATTCAGGGTCAGTTGCCAGAAGCCCAGGTATGACGAGGACATGGGAGAGATTGTTTCCCTCCGGGCAGAAGTTGCGACACTTCGGAGCCGGAACGAGGAGCTCACAGGGTTGCAGCAAGCCGTTGGGTGTGGTTTTTCGGGGCTCGAAATTGATTACAACGGTTCAAAAAAGGGCGCAAAGGTTTCATCAGAATTTATTGTGACCTATGTAGAGGCTTGCAGCAAATCACTTCAAAAGGGCCAAATCGGATGAGGGTCGGGGGCGGCACAGTGTTTTTGCCAAGTGTGGGTTCAGTCCAGGGCAGTTCGTGCAATAGTACTCGCTTGATATTGGTGCGCCTTGATAACAGAGCCTCCGATGTCAGATGCGGCCTTACCGTAGGAATTTTGGACTTTCATGTAGTGTTCCGGACTGCAGGGTTTCAAGAAGGGGGTTAGGGGGCAGTGATAAGGAGGGTGGCAGACTTTACAACTTACCAGACTGCAGCTGGCCATCAACTATATCAAACGTCATGTTTTTGGCCTTACGGCACAAACCTTGAGCTCGAAAATGCACAGGCTGGATCCTAAACTCTCTAGACTTGAGGTCTTATCATCTTATCTAGTCTGACAAAGACGAAGTTAGCCGAAGCCCTAAACCTCCAAACCTTGAGCCCCACGGCCTTGAACCATGACCCTGGCCCAGGCCATAAAGCACAAACCTTATTGTAATAACCTGGTGAGAACGTCCTCGTTCGTCTGATAAATCAGGTTCGCAATATTCATCCGACACGGGTTCTAGAGAGCCAAGGCTTTCCTTCTTGTTTGATGGAGCGAGGCTGAGGCGTCTGCCCTGCACCCTGACGGCTGAAACCTTTGTGATCATTTCCTGCCGGGGTGAATTGGCTTCGTGTTTGTCCCCTACGGCAGGGCCAGGTCCAGGAACCTGTGTCCGGCCTTCATGAACTCCACGGATTACAGGAGGGACTTCCGGCGGTCACACAAGGTCCGACGGGCCAGCGCCTGGGGGATTCTTGTCCAGGGCCCGGGCACAAACTTGGTTTATTTTCTCAGGAGCGGCCTTGGCCGCCGCAGTAGCTTGTTTGAGGATGCGAAGACATACGTCACCATGCAGTTGTTGCCAGAGGCGATTGATTGATCACACGAAAACTGTCGGGCATGATCGGGCTTGGCCAAGTCCCCGGCCTGCAAAAAGCCAGCACAGCAAGATGCTGGCAAAGCAGTTGCGAGGTGCAGAGCAAGTCTGCAAATCGTGTAAAATTGCAGGAAGCTGGAGAGATGCAGGCTGAGTTCTCGGAGATCTGTACGAGGTCCAGCGTGACGGCTCGGTCCTTGTCTTCTGGTAGTTCACGGCATCTCGGAGTTCGAGCGTCACCAGTCACCATCTTAGGCGCATGGGTAGGACGCCAGGTCCTCTGGCCGCGAGAGGATGCGTCGCACTCACAAGAAAAAATCTTAAACACAACCTGCCGGTGTTCCAACTATTTCCAAGTTCCCCGAAGCGACAGACAGCACTGCCAAGAGGCACTGTGCAGCTCGCTGCATGGGTGCCGATCGGCAGCGGTACTCTTAGGGAGCCCTCATTGTTAGCTCTCTCAGCGCAGGAGCTTTGCCTGCGAAACCAGCGCCTGGAGGCTTCGTATTCGGATTCGGGGTGCATCGTCCCGTCGGGTTTTTCTTGTGGAGGGGCGGGGCGGACCAAGGTCTGGCGTCAGTACGCTTAGACGACATAGCGTGTGCAGTTCAGAGTACACCCCCAATAATATGTGAATTCACGACTTTGGGGCTTGGGTAAACGAGGGGATGTTCGTTTGCATAGGAGACGGTTGCTGTCTGTTCGCTCAATCAGAAATTATGGGATGATGGCTTCCGACGTGGCTTGGCATGCTGTGAACTTGATTGCAGATTCTTCGCCCCAAGCGGAGCGATCCGGGAGGAGTCTCTCCAAGCCCTTTCAGTAGCCTTACGCCCTACATGTATGAGAAGCACTACGAGCATCATGTCATGGATCACGGTAGTACCCCTGCGGAAAGCTTGGTTTTGGGTTTTTGTGCTCAAGTTGCGAGGGACACATCGGAGTTCAAATCAGGTCATGGCGGCGAATTTCCTTATGCAGAACGTACCGATGCCCGTGACGGCGCCTGGGAAAATGCAGGTTGTAGGTCCAATGCCATAAGGTAATCACCTACTCGATTCCGGAGCCATTGAACGGGTGAAACAGCCTGTGCCCAAAAACACTAAGCCTTTAAGTTCCAAATCATGGCTACTGCAATGCGGAGGGTGGCTGTCTATGCCTGAGGGGTCAAGGTGATGGGCAAGGCCGTGCAAACAAAAGAACAGTACAGCTAGTATGCTATTGCCCATTTTTTTGCACTGGGACTCGGACCTCACGTCAAAGCACATCACCCCCCTGCCCCTCTGAACTGCCGACCAGAAGCCAGGTTCAGCCGCCATCGACACCATCTCCGTCTGTCTCAGCTCGTCGAGTTATGGTGCTCCATCGCATTTGTTGCTAGGGCTTCTGGTGGGCCTGGATGACTCCCAAAAGCTCTCCGCTTGCTAGGGCCCCACACTCATGAGGTTTCTCACGGTGACGGCAAGAGAGGGTGTTTCGTGTTTCTCAGCATGAATGTAAATTTGCGAGTTTGGAAGCCATGTCAGAAGCAGCTCGGCCATTCTGGTTCCTTGACTTAAGTGCCTGGAGCCCTCGACATGGAGACGGAGCCTGAAGCTTCCTCCGCATGGGCAGCAGCCGTAACTTCAGAAGCTGGTGATGACAACAGCAAGACAAGCGATGTTTTACTCGAGCCAGGCCTCTTCTCCTCGCAGCGATGGACTCATCCGCCACCGGAGTGCTCCAGTAAGCGCCGAGGCAAGATGTTGGCAAAACGGAGGGCCAAGAGCAAAGTGTGTTTTTGGCTGCCTCCCTTACAAAACCTAACCTAATTTACATGGAGGGGGGCCGTTCCTATCGGTCCAGTAGGGTTCCCTCCAAAATTGTTTTGACATTTTAGCTGACATAAGGTACTTGGCGTCTTCCGTCATGGACCCCCTGCAAAAAGGGGTGGGAAACCCCGAAGTACTTCACTTGTTGGGGGTGCTGCAGAAACAATCATGATGGGTGCTGCTGAGTGGGCAGCCAAGTACTTCAGTCGTTCGGGGGTGGTGCAGAAACACACATGATGTGTGCTGCTGAGTATCGCTATTGGCAATCTGTTTGGGATGCCCTGAGATCGTACTGTGTTGTAGTTCAGTACGTGCAAGTATCATGCTCTTCTGGAGAAGGACGGCTCGCACGAACTGTTCAATCTGCGATTCTCAGGAGTTTGTGAAGTATGGGGAGGCTCGTGTTCTTTGGCCGTTACTGCAGCCGGCTGGCTCCTGATGCTACAACTAGCAACGCTCACGGTGTAATACCCTTCACGTAGCACACAACGAATCCTGTGGTTGCGATCTTCTTGTTTGGACGTGTTTGGCGTCTTCTTCTTGGAACTCACTTTTGCATGGATTCCTAACATGCGCTTATCCGTCTGCCTTCTGCTACCAGTGAAAAGTTCGATGATGCTGCTGCTGCTGCGACGGCTTTTGACGATGATGACCGTGGAGGCGACGATGAGGATGATAATGATGATGATGTTGCTGCTGACCATGCTGAGGAGAATGGCAGTGATGGCATCGATAATGGTCACACGGGCCATGGACATCCATGCCGCCGTCGTCATTCTCATCATCATCATCATCATCATCATCATCATCATCATCAGTATCATCATCGGCATCATCATCACCATCATCAGCATCATCATCATTATCGTCATCAACTCCGTCATCAACATGCTCCTCATAGCTGCAATGACAAGATGTCATCATCGTCATCATCTTCTTCTTCTTCACCAGCTTCTGCATCACCATCTTTATTCATCATCACGATCATCATCACCACCATCATCATCATCATCATCATCACCACTATCGTCACTACCATCATGCTTGTTTCGATCGTCGTTCGTCATCATCATCATCATCACCATCATCATCAGCATCTTCATCACCATCATCATCACCATCATCATCGCCATCATCGTCACCATCATCGTCAGCACAGTCAGCAGAGGCTGCGGCACCATCTTCATCACTACACGCAGGTACCGGAGAGGAGCAGTAGTGTCGTTCCAGGCTTCTTCGCCTTGCAGCGACAAACTTCTCCGGCCCGATGCCGGAGCAAACCCCGAGGAGTGATTGTTCGTGCTTTCCTTTGCAGTCGATGGCATTGTCACGGGTCCCTTGTTTGCCGAAGGGATCCCCCCAAAACCTGCAACATGCTATTGCACCTGTGCTTGTGTCAAGGATGCTGAGCGTTTGGATCTACGCGGACAGGCTTGAAAACAAGGATACATCAGTCGAAATCCTCAGCCGCTGGATCGCAACCTTAACATGCTGAAACCCACGCCCGAAACTGGTCTGGGTGGACACAAGCCTTCTCGAAATATCAGGCTCCCTTGGAGCATTTTGCCCGGATTTCAAGCTCCCCCTCCTTCGCTCTGCTCGTGGCATCCCCCATTCTACAGAAGTGAACAAG